CGCCCCGCCCCCCACCCTAACCACTAGGCAGTGCTGCCTGCCTGGGCTGCCAGACGCACAGCTCCGGGCGTGGCCCGCATTGCCCCTCGGCCCCAGCAGGGAGGGGGCAATAGAGCTGCAGTCCTAGGGCCTTGCCCACACGCCGCAGCTCCGGAGACACGTCTCGCCGCAGACGAAGGGGCCGGGAGCCGAGGCGGTTTCCAGTCAGGTGCGGCGCTTCGCTCAGTGTTTAATATTCTGAGCAGCGAGAGCCGGCTCCTTGTCTGCCAGGAGCTACCGTGACGCAGAATATTAATCACTCCAGTTCTTGCAGAGCTCTCAGCCGGCTGGGCTGAATCTGGTGGGCAGAGCTGGCCTGGGGGGCAGGACTCCTGGGGGTCTAGTCCCAGCGAGAGGAGGGGGCTTAGTGTAGAGATTAGGGTGAGGGGAGAGGCCTCCGGTCAAAACCCCTGGGTTCTGTTCCCACCTCTGACGGGGTAAGACCGTGGGCAGCTCACTGTGCCTCAGTTTCCAATGAGGCTAGTATATATTGGCCCTGCTTTCCCTGGGAGGATATAGGCCTATAGGGACCATCTCCCGCTATGCACCCAGTCCAAGGAGGCACTGATCCTGGTTCGGTGCGATCTTAATCCAAATGCCCATAATACAATGCTTTGGGCTCCTCAGAGAGTGGGTGCACACAGCCCTGCCCTCTCCTGGATGAATTCAGAGCCGCTCAGCTGTGTGTCCTACACCCTATAAAGCCAGCAGCGAATGGGGATTCCCCCAGAGTTCCATGGGTGGCAGCTGCCTCGGCTTTTGGAGCAGGAGGCTCTGTGAATCCATCCCGATTGCCACAGCATGTCAAGCGGCGCCGCCCCCCTGAGGTAGCTGGCTGACAGGTGACGACACCTCCACGTGATCTCACCTGAGGATGTAATTGACCCAGACCATATTCTTCTCGCTGGGGTTCTTGATATTGACCGAGATGGTGGCGCAGGACTGAATCCACACAAAGCCCCCGTTCTTCTGTAGCCAGCGGTAATATCTGGTCACCACCTGGCCTTTTTGCAGCACTAATGGGAAAGGAAGTTTGTTAGCTTAAGGATGTCAGGCCCCACCTACCCCCCGCCCTCCATTGTGAGGACAGATGCCCAGAAAGGGGCTTTTACCCTCTCAAGATCCCAGGAGAGATACAGTCCCCCTTATCCCAGCCATGGCTCCCCTTGTCCTCATCTGCTGTGTCTCTTGGGGAGAGGTGGATACGTTGGTGAGTAGAAAGAGGGTCTGGAGTGATCTAGACAAATCGGAGGATTGGGCCAAAAGAAATCAAATGAGGTTCCACAAGGCCAAGCGCAGAGGCTGCCCTTGGGATGGAAGAATCCCAAGGATGAATTGTTACAGGCTGGGGACCAACCAGTTAAGTAGCAGTTCTGCAGAAAAGGCCCTGGGGGTTACAGTGGATGAGAAGCTGGAGATGAGACAACAGGGGCCCTTGTAGCCAAGAAGGCTAATGGCAGATTAGGGGGCATTAGGAGGAGCATTGCCAGCAGATCCAGAGAAGTGATTATTCCCCTTTATTCGACTCTGAGGCCACATCTGGAGTATTGTGTCCAGTTCTGGGCCCCCCACTATAGAAAGGACGTGGATGCATTGGAGAGGGTCCAGCGGAGGGCAACCAATATGATTCGGGGGCTGGAGCACATGATAGAAATGTAGCCGTGTTAGTCTGGTGTAGCTGAAACAAAATACAGGACTGTGTAGCACTTTCAAGACTAACAAGATGGTTTATTAGATGATGAGCTTTTGTGGGCCAGACCCACTTCTTTGATCTGAGGAAGTGGGTCTGGCCCACGAAAGCTCATCAGCTAATAAACCATCTTGTTAGTCTTTAAAGTGCCATACAGTCCTGTATTATGACCTATGAGGAGAGGCTGAGGGATTTGGGTTTGTTTAGTCTGCAGAAGAGAAGAGTGAGGGGGGATTTGATATTAGATGATGAGCTTTTGTGGGCCAGACCCACTTCTTTGATCTGAGGAAGTGGGTCTGGCCCACGAAAGCTCATCAGCTAATAAACCATCTTGTTAGTCTTTAAAGTGCCATACAGTCCTGTATTATGACCTATGAGGAGAGGCTGAGGGATTTGGGTTTGTTTAGTCTGCAGAAGAGAAGAGTGAGGGGGGATTTGAGAGCAGCCTTCAACTTCCTGAAGGGAGGTTCCAAAGAGGATGGAGAGAGGCTGTTTACAGTAGTGACTGGATGGCAGAACAAGGAGCAATGGTCTCAAGTTACAGTGGGGGAGGTCTAGGTTGGATATTAGGACAAACTACAGTAAACTTCCGATAATCCGGCACCTTTAGGACCCAGGGGGTGAGGTTTTTATGTCCCGGCTTGACAAAGCCCTGGCTGGGTTGATTGAGTTGGGATTGGTCCTGCCTAGAGCAGGGGGCTGGACTTGATGACCCCTGAGGTCTCTTCCAGCCCTGGGATTCTCGGATCCTGTGCCCCTTTCATCTCTGTCCAGCGCGGAGGGCCCCCGACTCGAGCTGGATGTCGATCAACTGGAGAGGGGTCAGAGAGGAATTAAATCTGCCTCGCAGGGAGAATCTCTAGGCGCTCAATTGATTAAGCGTAACAAAGAGCAGGCTAAAGAGTGACTTGATCCCAGCCCGTCAGTAGCTATAGACTTAGACTTAGAGGGAACAAATGTTTGATCCTCGGCTCTTTGGTCCAGCGGAAGAAGGTCTCACACCACCCCGTGGCTGGAAGCTGAAGCCAGACAATCGCCTGGAAATAAGGTGTCTGTTTTTATCAGTGAGAGTAATGAACCATCGGCACAATTGACCCAGGGCCATGGTGGATTCTCCAAACCTGGCAAGTGGGAAGTGAAGACTGGATGCGTTTCTGTCAGGGATCGGCTGCTCTTTGGTCCAGCGGAAGAAGGTCTCACACCACCCCGTGGCTGGAAGCTGAAGCCAGACAATCGCCTGGAAATAAGGTGTCTGTTTTTATCAGTGAGAGTAATGAACCATCGGCACAATTGACCCAGGGCCATGGTGGATTCTCCAAACCTGGCAAGTGGGAAGTGAAGACTGGATGCGTTTCTGTCAGGGATCGGCTGTGAGGTCAAAACAGAAATAAACATTCCTGCAGCCTGTGCTACACAGGAGGTCAGAGTAAACAACCAAGTGGCCACGTCTAGACTGGCATGATTTTCCGGGAATGCTTTTAACGAAAACGTTTTCTGTTAAAAGCATTTTCGGAAAAGAGCGTCTAGATTGTCACGGATGCTTTTCCGCAAAAGCACTTTTTGTGGAAAAGTGTCCGTGGCCAATCTAGATGCGCTTTTGCTCCAAAAAGCCCCGATCGCCATTTTTGCCATCGGGGCTTTTTTGCACAAAATAAATCGGAGCTGTCTACACTGGCCCTTTTGCACAAAAGTTTTGCGCAAAAGGGACTTTTGCCCAAACGGGAGCAGCATAGTATTTCCGCAAAACGCACTGATTTCTTACAGTAGGAAGTCAGTGCTTTTGCGGAAATTCAGGCGGCCAGTGTAGACAGCTGGCAAGTTTTTCCAGAAAAGTGGCTGATTTTCCAGAAAAACTGGCCAGTCTAGACACAGCTGGTGTGTTCAGGAGTGTTGAGAAGAGGACGGTGATCAGCTGGTCCCCATGTCCCCTGGAGGTGGGACAAGACGTAGCGGCCTTACTCCGCAGCAAAGGAGATTTAGGTTAGCTCAGCAATGAGCAGCCTAGGCTAGTGACTGGACCACAAGACTCTCGTGACCAAAACAGTCTCCCAGATAGGGCAGCCGGCGTGCCTAGCTTTTGTGGGAGGTGCTGATGGGACCGTGGCAGGGCTGTGATTGGCTGCAGAGGGAGCGCCCGGCTCTCGCAGGCAGTGTTCTTTCCAATCCGCATGCACCTTGCTTCACGGGCCCTGGCTCTGCGGGCGTGTAACACTGGTAGGAAAAAAACTAGGTGGATAGAAACCAGCAGGATCTGGCAACGCTACACGTGAGCAACAGGCCACGCACAGAGCCCTGATGGGCCACAGGTTGCCCCCACTGGTTAGAGAGTAGGAAAAGCTTTCTGACATGGGGGGGAGGTAGCTCCGGAACAAGATCCCCAGAAGGCTGTGGGATTCCCGTCATTGTGGGTTTCAGGCCAGGCTGTCAGGCTGGTCTATGTTTACTTGGTCCCCAGAGCGCAGGGGTCTGGAAGTGATGGCCTCTTGAGGCCCTTCCAGCCTGACATTTCTAGAAGCCCAGTGGTCCCTTCTCGGCCTTTGAAGCTGTCTGATACCATCACCCAGATGGGTTCAAGGCCAATTATTATTAATCACGCATTGCGCCTTTCGTCCAAAGCAGCGTTCATGCTGCCCAGAGGCCTGCCCGGGGCGGGATGCAGCAATTGTTTGAACACCTGCCCTGCGGCTGAGGCTGGGATGGTCAGAAGATCTCTGATGACCGCAAGGGGCCTGGATCAATGTCCCCTCTAATTTTTTCCATCCATGTGTGGAATAAATTTTGTTATGTGCACCCAGGCATGTGCAGGTGTGCACCACCAATAGAAACACATGGTGGCAGCTGTGGGCAGCTTTGGGCACTCTGCCAATCAGCTAGGTGACACGTGAACTTTTCCGGGGCAGCCACCTAAGGGCCCAGCTTACAGGGAACACGGCTCAGAAAAGGTAGCAGCCCCAGCAGCGGGGCCAGCCCTGACTGCAAGGAGAGAGCGCCCCCTGCTGTGTCACTCCCACTGGGTCCTGCAGCACAGCGCCCCCTAGCTCTGCGCTGGGACAATGGCGTCAGCGCTGGCTGGGACGTAGCTGGAGGTGCGTATCTTAGTTCGACTTTGCCTCCTGGGGCCGAGCTGGCCTGATGCCGGAGGGGTCTCTACCGGGCAGCTCTGTGGGCGGGGGCGGGTGGATAATCAGTTGAGCAGGAACCCAGAGCGCACCCCAAAGGGGGATGTGTGCTTGGCTCTGGTGTGACCGCTCCGGGAATCCCGTGGCCAGGCGGGGGGCTCACCCTTCCAGAGGGGTCAGAGAAGGGACCTGCCTTAGCCCCTCCGGCTCCCGCTTAGCAAAGAGGCGGGGATGGGCTGACTCGAATCCAGTCTCTCGGGCTCCAAACATGCACGAGGGGGCTCTGTGACCCAGCAGCTGGAAGCTGAAGCCGGACACGTTCAGACTGGCAAGACGGTGCCCATTCACCAAAGAGCCACTGGGACCGTGGGGCGTGCCCGGGACGTGGCCTGCGGGGGCTGCTGGGGAAAGAAGCCCCCTTTGCCTTGCCCGGGAGGGGCGAGCGGGAAGGCAGGAACACGGCCCCTTTCACAGCAGCCACCGAGGCCACCCGGTGTCTGGCGCCGCGCCGGACACTAGAGAGAAGCAGCTTAGACCCAGATCGGCCCAGGCAGCTTTACCCGTGTGTCCCTGAGGAACAAAGAGGCAGAGGGCAGGGGCATCGCCAGCAGAGGAGGTGGGGGGAGGAGAAGCCATCAGCAGAGACAAAGGGACAATTTTGCAAGTAACCTGGGGCGGGGGGAAGGCTAGGAACCTGGAGCCAGCCAGCACGCAGGCACACCATCTGCAAGCAGGGCCCTCTGCGTGAAAAACTGACGGTCAGAACACACCGAGGAAGGATGATGAACCTCACCGCATAGATGAGGGAAACTGAGGCACGGCGGGGGTTGCTCTTTTTGGGGGGGGGGGGCATGCATGCTAGGGGAGCTCTGGCACATCTGGGAATCACAGTCCGGTCTCCTGGCTGCCCAGCGCCTCACTCACACAGGGCTTCCTGCCGGACTGGGCATGCAAGGAAGCCAAGGCATCAGGCTGAGGACGTTGACAAGCCAAGAGACCCAGCAGAGAGGCCTGCCCGCTGGTTCTGACATCTCCCTTTATTTCCCTTCCCCCACCCATATGGCAAGGGGCAAGGGACCGGCCCGGAGAGGCTTACAATCCAAGTGGCTCTGCCGGATTCCTTCCACGTCCTCGCCATGGACAAACTGGTAGCAGCTTTTTCCTACCAGCTCCGAGGAACACAGGTCCATGTAGTCGCTGACCCTGTGGGCGGAGGAGAGGCAGGGCGAGTTACCAGGCTGGGAGGGGCAGACTGCGGGCTGGAGGCAGAGCCAGAGGGAACGGGTGCCGGCCTGGCATGTGCCAGCCTGCTCGTGGTTGGCAGCGTGGGTAAATTGGCACAAAGCCACTAAGTCCTGATGGGGCTTCGGCTCTATTGATGGCAACGGCCGATTGACACCAGCTGGTGACCCCATTGATGGAGTCTCACCCCCCAGGCTCTAAGATCCCTCGGCGCAGGGCGAGGGAGAATCCCGCAGCACACGGCCAGGCCCCCGTTAATCTGAGGCCAAAATAAAAGTCACAGGCCAACGCCGTCTCCAGCTTTACCCCGAGGGGGGGGGGGGCTGCATGCAGAGTCTGGCCCGAATGCCACTGACACCAGGGGAGGTGCTCTGGCCACGCCGCCCCCTGCACCCACCTGCTCTCGCAGTACACGATTTGCAGGTCCATGTTGACCCGGAACACAAACATGTGGCACTCGATGCGCACCTCGCTGAGCGTGGATGGCGGCAGCGTGTGAGCCAGGGCCACCAGCCCCAGGACTCGGCCCAGGACTGAATGGGCGTGGGAGAAGGACGGCAGACGGGGGCGGAGGCGGCCAGTGACGTGAATCACCTGGCGGGCGGGGGGAGAAAGAAGGTTGTGGATGGGCAAGGAAGTGAGACGTCTGCCCAGCCACGTGCCACTGATGCTGAGTCTGGGCCTCTAATGCCGGGGCCGTGCTGGGCAGGAGTCAAAGGGGTCAGGGAGAGCAGGATAGGGGCAGTCATGTCTAGTGGTTAGAGCAGGACACCGCGTGACCCCAAGACTGGCCCTGACGCCTGACACCAGAAGCCTCCTGCTCTTGCAGATCCTTTTGCGCCAGGGCAGGGCTGCCAGCCACGGGAAGGCAAGGGAAGGGAAGGGGCTGGTGCGACCCATTCCTGCCTTGGGAACCAGGCAGCAGAGCATGGCCCCATAGCTGGGGGGGGAGTCTGAACACCCAGGCTCAGTGGAATTGATCAGAGGGGAGGAGGGGACAGGCTTTGCATGGCGATCAATCCAGCAGGCGCCAGGGAACGAGGAGCCGAGGGGGGCAGGAAGGGGCCGGGCAGGAGGTGTCCTCCCCACCTGCCCTCACAGGGGTCTTAGGGCCCTTTTTACCGTCACAAACAGAACACCCTAGCCCCGCCCCTTCCCAAGGCCCCACCCCCTTTACCGCCCTTCCCAAGGCCCCGCCTCCTTCAGGCTACAATCCACCTCCCTCGGTGGCTTGCTTTCCCATACCTCACTCACCGTCAGTGGGTTGAGGCAGGGGTTTGGGGCAGGGGACGGGCTGGGGGTGTGGGCCCTGGGGTGGGGCCCAAAATGAGCAGTTCAGGGTGCAGGATCGGGCTCTAGGCTGGG